ACGCTCGAAACGTTGCATGCCAAACCTAAACGAAGACATCCGGACAATCCCGAACTCACGGAAATCGAAAAAGAACACGAGAAGAATTACCAAGCCAAAATAGATGCCTACAGCAAAGCCATCAAAGAAGAACCGATCTTATCCTTCGTGCTGGACCAAGTCACGAAAAAAGTCAAGTTGCAGATCAATACGGAAGACGGTTTTAAATATCTCAAACTTATACCCTTTCTCCAGTTGAAGTTGACGGGCCCCGTGGTATCCTCCTTGGGATGGATTCACGAGACCACGATTATGCCCCGATTGGACCATTTAACGTCTTTCAAACAGAGGGATATCATCGTGGCCCCGGAAACCTTTGACATCAATGTGGGACACACCATGTTTTATCTGTATGCAGATCTCTTGGAACCCCAACGGGTGGGGAATATGGTGGCGCCTTTGTTGGATGTCTTTCCAAGTTCTCACGGTTATCATCGCCCAACGGTCATCCATTATCAGCCCTTCAAGTACGACAGCATCACCACCATTGGCCTCTATATAAGAAACGGTCTTGGCCATAAAGTGTCATTCACCCAAGGAAAAGTCGTCGTCAAACTACATTTCCGACGAAAAGCAATTTAAAGAAATTTAAAGCAATTTAAAGCATAATGCAATTTTATCGTGGTGTGTTACGCCAAAAGGGCGCCAACATGAAGACGCCCACGCCCATCAACGTCTACCGGGGAGGTGTGTTGCGGCAAAAGGGCGCAGGGCGTTTACAGGGGTTACTGAACTTGGCGAAACCCTTTCTGCAAGCTGGAAAGAACGCCTTAAAGACCAATTTTTTGAACCAAGAGACTTTTGGAGAATTGGGAAAAGCAGCCCTTGGTGTGATATCGGGAAAACAAAGTGTGGGCCAGAGTTTGAAGAATGTGTTCCAGCGCACCATAAAACCACGTCTCCGACAAACACTAGCCGATGTCATGTCCTCCCAAACACCCAAATCCCGACGCCGACAAACAGACACCAGACCGCCCAAAACCAAAAATTCTATAAAAAGGAAAGGAAAATCCACTGGCGTCATTTCACGAGCGAAACGTCCTCGGCCCGACATCTTCGATCATGGCTTCAGCAATGCGTAACGATTCCTGTCCTTGTGCTCGCGATGAACTGGAACAATTGTTCCAAGTACCCGACACACACACGGCCATTACCCGAGTAACCAAAATACGCAAATACGCCATCACACCCGATCTGAATCACGATGGACCGATTGAATTTCTGGTGAACAATGCCAGTATGGATTTCATCGATTTGGCCAATACAACCCTATACCTGCAACTCAAGGTGGTGAAAGAGGATGGTACCAATCTACCGGCAGACGAACCCGTGGCTCCCGTGAATAATTGGATGCACTCTCTGTTTAAAGATGTGAAATTGCGGCTGGGAAAAGCTTCTGATACCTTGGTCACGTCTCCTCTACCCAATTACGCCTATCGAGCTTACCTGGAGAATTTACTGAGTTATGGAAAACAAGCCAAGACGAACCATTTAGACCGACAAGTCCTGTGGCACAAGGATACAGCCGGCGAATTTGATCAAGCTTCACCCGTCAAAACCAATGCAGAGGCCCCCGAACCTGCCAATGCCGGGTTGGTGGAGCGCTACAAACGCATCTCGCAGAGCCAGGTGGTGGAATTACAATCACGGTTGCATTTAGATATGTTTCTACAAGAGAGGTACTTAGTGGACCAAGTCGATCTACGTCTGAGTTTGGAAAAACAATCCTCTAAATTTTTCCTGATGCATGCCGACAATAAAGGACCCTACAAGATTGATTTCATCAAAGCTTATTTGGAAATTCCGTTCGTCACCCTTTCTCCCACCACGTACACACGGATTAACAACCAACTCAAAACCACCAATGTCAAGTATCCCTTGAAACGCATGGTCGTCAGAGATGTGGTTGTGCCGAGTAACCGTACCAGTCACGTCCTGGACAATCTGTTCATCAACGAAACCTTACCCGCGCGTCTATTTGTGGGGTTGGTCAGTAACCGAGCTTACGATGGGCATAATACCAGGAACCCGTTCCGATTTCATCATCATAACCTCAAGCACATTCGATTGACCATAGATGGAATAGTCGTGGATGATTATGCCGATCTCAACTTTGGCGATAAATTGGCCATCACACCGTACATGGATTTAATGAATCGTGTGGGTGTTCTCAATACCCGAGAAGATTTGGATCTCAGTTTCCACGATTATATCAAGGGTTACACGCTGTTTTGTTTTGATTTGACCAACGACCGAGGAGCAGACCGGGCCTATTCACATCCCAGAACCACGGGTAACCTGTCTCTAGAACTACGCTTCTCGGCAGCCCCCACTAACGCTCTCAATCTTATGATGTTTGCCGAATACGACAATGTCTTGGAAATCGATTGTAACCACCAAATCATCATGGATTGGTAGTCCTTTATCCACGTTACAATTGGAAGAGGCCCTGCGTCATCATTCGGACGTCTTTGGTGGCGTCTGGTCCCGGAATCACCTGTACCAACTGCAACCCCATACCTATCCTCTAGCCTACATTGTCAATACCGACGACGAACAAGACCCCGGCACCCACTGGACCGTGTTTATGTGTGAAGGACCTGGACACTTGTATTTTTTTGATTCTTACGGATGCCCACCCGAGACCTATGGACAAGCCTTTGCCGATTTCAGTCAACGTCACGGACCCACTACCCATCAACCCCGATGGTTACAGAGTTTAACGAGTTTTGTGTGTGGACATTACTGTTTATTTTTTATCTGCCATTCGAAACGGTGCCTGCAATTGTTTGGCACCAATACCCGGCAAAATGATGTGCTGGTGAACCAATGGGCTCAAAATCATTTTCCATCCTTAAATCGTTTGGGTGGACAAACGTGTTGTTCTTTTTCAAAAATGTAAATACGTTCAATTGTTGATTTGTTCTAATGTTCGATTGTTCGATTGTTCTATTCATTAAAAATGTTATTAAAAATGTTATTAAAAATGTTATTAAAAAGTCTTTTTCGTGAAAGCGTACTGGGGAACTCCCCAGAAAGGGCGAGGGAACCCCACTGAGCAAGTCCCGAGAAAGGGCGAGGGAACACCCCAAAAAAAGACGAGAGAAAACGAGCAAAGGGAGGGGGAATCCCCGAGAGCAATCCCAAGAAAGAACGAGAGAACAAAGGGAAGGGGGTCCCCCGAAGAAAGGGCGAGGGAATCCCCCAAAAATGGGGCCCAAGACCCAAGCACAGAAAGGACGAGAGAAATCCCGAGAAAAAGGAAATCCCGGAGGGAAATCCCTATGACGTCATGTCACGTATGACGTCACGCCATCACCACCGGAAGTGACCGTTGCTATGGATGTCGTCATCGCCGGAAACGGAAGTGACATCATCACAGGAAGTGACGTCATCACAGGAAGTGACGTCATCTTATGACGCCATCACCGGAAGTGACGTCATCTTATGACGTCATCACCGGAAGTGGCCGTTGCTAGGGACACAGGAAGTGACCTGCGCATGCGCAACACCGTTGCTAGGGCTTCTGCGCATGCGCGCCATCGTCCCTATACCCACGCCCCCACTACTACAATGGTGCATATTTTTCTAGCTAAAGAAAAGGGTATATTATTTTTGGTATGGCGTGGGTGACATGATTGATAAGAAAGATAGTTTTTGGTATCTGTTTCGTTAGAATACTTATCCGTTCTCCCCTTCGTTTCACTAGAACATCCAAGAATGCGATTTGCTGATCGTTCGTTTCAATTGTTAATTTGATATTTAGATCTAAATCATTTATTATTTCTTGCAAATCTGCAACGTTGCCAATTCGTTCATTCAAAATACAGAATATATCGTCTAGGAATCGTTTCAACTGATTTTGTAATCCACGCCATGTTCAATTTCTACAATTGAATATAATCTTTCCTCAACAAACACCATCGTTCAATATACCAAGAATTTGTGCGTGATTTGTTTCGCCAAATGTAAAAGTGTCGTAGTCAAGATGATTCTCTCATGACTGTATTCAGGATGTTTATCCAACCAATATTTTATGGCCTGAGAACATAGGTCATTTGAAATGTTGGTTACGAAAAAGTCGCCATCGTTCAGATTTTGAGGCAATCTATTAACAAAATCTATGTCATCCCAAATAACAGATTTTACATTTGGCACGTACGGCTTAAGTAAGATTAGAGAGTAGGGCAGCACGGACCGGCAATTATTGGTCTGAATGGGAGATCGTCTGGCTGGAAAACACTGATGAATTCGGCATTTTTGGTGTTTAATATAATATAATATAATATAATATAATATAATATAATATAATATAATATAATATAATATATATATTATACATTTAACGGAGTGAGGGAGAGAGAGAGAGAGGGAGATGGGGTTTAGGTCATTTCGGGACTAATATGGTTTAAATTTATTCCAATAATTCGCTTGCGCGTAGCTAGGGGTCTTTAGCAGTGGGAGGAAACCGGAGGACCCGGAGAAAACCCACGAGGTTGGACAGGCGACCCTATCTTGTCACGTACTACCGGGGAATCAAAACTACGCCAGCTGACTCAATGATAGACTTTATGATACAGCGCACACACGCCAACCATTCAGCCATCCAATCCCCATTTAATGTAGCCTATAGAAGAGGACATAACACAAACTAGGTGCAAAAATACTCTTATGTAACAGGTGGGATAACGAATGAGTAAATCCGTTACAGACAATAATAGTCTGTTTTATAACCACACCTTGGCTTTTCCTGTCGGTAAAATAGAAAATAAAACAATATGGCTAATTGTGTAAACAGTTCCTTTATCTTTTTTTATATCTATGATCAACTATAGTAGTAGTACATGTAGGTCTTGAAGCCACGCCCCCTTCATACTAAAATATCAGCCAATAAAAAAAACAAGAGATCGGCCTTGAACCCGGATTGACCCATATAGTTTATACATACTGTAAACAACACACGTCTGCTTCACAAGTAACAATTTAATAGGCCTACCCACGAAGATGATAGTACTAGAAGTCGAGAACTTTATAAACGGTAAATTTGTACCGAGCGAATCACATATAGATAGTTATGAACCGTCCACGGGTGAAGTATGGGCGTCAATTCCTGACAGTGGCGAGAAGGAGATCGAACTTGCAGTGGCGAGCGCTAAGGCGGCATTCAAAGGGTATGTATAGCTTCCGTATAGTCCCCTATGCATATACGCGGGAGTATGCAACCCCTGAAACTGGTAGAGACGCTTAAAATTTGACCCACTGCACATTATTGATGTTAAAAGTTTAAATGTGTAAATTAACATCAAAAGTAATTTTCTCCGTTTTTAGTGATGGGTTGGATAGCCGAATGGTTAGCGCGTGGGCGCTGTATTATAAAGTCTGTCATTGAGTCAGCTGGCGTGGTTTTGACTCCCCGGTTGTACGTGTCGACAAGGAGTAGGGTCACCTGTCCAACCTCGTGGGTTTTCTCCGGGTCCTCCAGTTTCCTCCCACTGCTAAAGACCCCTACGCGCAAGCAACTTATTGAAATAAAATTGAACCATGTGTTAGTCACTACACTTTGTTTCTACACTTATAAATTATTCATTGATAAAACGGAAACATTGTTTATTATATTGACGTTAAAATAATATACAACTTATCATTTTATATGGGGTATTTTTACTGATAATTTTAGTAATCATGTAATGCGAGAATTTGAAACACGTTTTAACAACCTATCTTTCCCCTTCCTGTTCAGTGATGGGCTGAAAAGGAGTATGGTAGTCAGGCCCGTAACTGCAAAAATGTCCCCCCCCCCCATAAATATACATTGTCAATTTTACAGCACCCCTGAGAACACTTCCCGCCCCCTCGTTGCTCTGAGCTAGTTACGGCCCTGATGGTAGTTTCGGGGGTTCCTAAACTAGTTAATGTTCCTACGTAGTCACCAATTTACGTCGTTTTTGATTAATTGTTAAGAGATATGCAATGCATAAGCTAAAACCTCCAGGATATACTCTAGGATCACGTGGCTAAGTGGGTAAGACGCTAGCTCGCTAGCCTGGAGGTCGGGTGTTCGATCCCTGCATTGGCCGAGAAAGTTCATCCAGATTTTCCGGCGTGGTTCTCCCTTGTCTTGTCAGTGATGCAGGACGGAGGGGCTGACAAGGAAAGCTGTCTAGTCGTTCGGATGGGACGAAAAACCGAGGTCCCGTGTACACATTGGCGTGCACGTAAAAGATCCCTTGGCAGTTGGAATTCGATATAAGCGTAGGCCGTGGTGCCGCTGTCCGGGCAAAATTTCCCTCATAGCACACTGTATGGCGTATGCCCGTCTTCATTAGCCCAGGTTAGGAGCAGAACAGTAGGACGTTAAACTCCATTTCATTTCATTTCAGAAAGCGCCATATACAGTCAGTTTTTTTCAAAAGAAATTCCGAGCCTGATTAGATAGAACCCCGTCGTTGCCCTCACGGAGCAAAGATTGGCCTGTTCCTGGGTATCACAGTGTCCATTCCTGGTAAAAAACAGTATTACCGGGGCAATTGCAAGAATGTGTCGTGAAATGAATAACATACAGAAATGAACTCGTGTTTACTATTGGGTCGAAAGGCTCCTGGACCTGACCTCTATGGGGACCCGTTGTGGTTCTCCCCTCTCCTGGGCGAAATTTCTTTTGAAAAACTGGCTATAAATCTATGTTTTCTATAGTATGTCCTGGTGTTTCTAGCTCATGCACAAATTGATTTTTGAGATCAGAATTGAACTCCGCGACACCGATAACCATATAAATAAGTCATATCCATCAGGACAGAATGACGGTTGACTTAAAATCCGCCATTTTTGAGTCCATTTTGAATTGCTACTTTGTTAGATTTTTGAAATTATCTTTAAATTCAGACATCGAAAACCACAATATATGAAAAAAAGCCTTTTTATTATCAAATTTGGCTGCCATTAGTTGTCCATATCAAAAATACATCTTTTGTTTTTTTTTTCTCTTCAAATTCGTTTTTTCGGCACACTTCGCCTTTATCTATAACTACTTTTTTTTTTTAAAGTTACTAGATATCGCTCTCCGAAACTTCCTGAAGACCGCCATATTGAGTTATGTTAATTTCGGCCAAATTTGAGTATGATGTTTTCTGGCATATGTATAAACTGCATTGGTTTCTTTTGCAATTTGTTTGGGGAAAAACGTTATCCCCCCCCCCCCCCGGGCTAAAAATAGAATCCACAATTTTTAAATTTAGGTAAATGGTGAGAGATATAAACCTGCTGAACAAGGGTTTATTATTACTATGCCTGTCAGGGATTGTCATTAAGACAAGTCATAATTGGCGTCGTTTGGATACAATACTTGTACGTGACAAGGAATAGTGTCACCTGTTCAAGCCCGTGGGGTTTCTGGGCCCTCCCCCCGGCTAACGACCCCTACGCGCATTCGTATTATTGAAATTGAAATAAAATTGAAATGACGTAGTTTGTGTCGCCTGGACGTGAAACCTCATTTCTGTTCGTGTTTCGCTATAATAGGCCTATATATTATTGAGTCACCATGCAGGTATACAAGGCCTATATATTGTTTGTATCACCTTGTAAGCGTAATAGGCCTATATATTGTTGTATACCTTGCAGGTATAATTGGCCTATTGGCCTATATATTGATGTGTCACCTATATATTACATTGGTGTATCACCTTACAGGTGTGTATTTAACATTAGTGACACAACAACGCACATGAAATAGGTGACTAATCGTGGAGATGATTTAAAAGATTATACTAAACGGTGAACATAAAAAAAAAAACTTTAACTTTTAAAAATAGTCATTGTTAAGTTCTTCCCCTTGAATTCGACAGTTCAGAGAGCTTCAAACAATGTGAAATCTCCCCCCCCCCCCCGCGCCCCCTTTAACTGATTTGTTAAATTCTCATTTAGTTTTACTAAATCGTTCCTCTTCCTTTGTCTTACTAGTTTTTTTTTTATCTGCGATGTCGCCTCCCGGTGTGAGCGGACATTCACGAATTAAATCATCCCCTTTATTTTATTTAACGAGTACATTTTGACGTGGATTATACAGTGAAACAGTGATGTTTGCGAGAGATTCAGCAGATGGATTCATTGATTGATTGGGTCTATTCATTATGGGGTGTTGGGAGGCTAAATCTATTTGTTAAGGCCACCTCAATTTTCGTCAAGGTTAGGGCACGTGATTGTTGGCGAGATTGTTTGTTAGGATTAGGGTAAACGTTAGGACTAGGTCCAGGGTTAGGGTTGGGATTAGCGCTAGCCCAGTTTACATCTCGTGACCTTTGACTAAACTTGAAGTTGGCCTTATCAATTAGATGTAACCTGTGTTGGGATGGCCTAGTGGTGGTCTATACAGTGTCGCACTTCGAGCTGTAGATGGCCGGTCACCTCTGGATCGCGGTCGAGCTTTCGATTCCTGGTGTGAGTACGTATGTGGGTTTACGCCCAAAACTGTTCAACTAGTCTCTTCAGCGCTCTTTTAGTTATCAAGCGCCTGTTTTATGAAATAATCTACCATTTAGTTTCAGGTGTTGTACATCTCTATATTCTTTTAAAACAGATTTATTTAATCAGGCTTTTAACTGATTCTGTATACAATCATTAACATGTCCATAATCTTGTTGTTTATTTATGATTACATTGTCACTTTGTGCCCCTTAACATGTTATATGAAAGGACACACTATAAATATGCTGTAATAATAATAATAATAATAATAAAATAAGACAACTTGTTTCCGATGTCACAAACGGTGGAAGCGGACGTTAAACACTAATAGAAGAAGAACTTTATTCATTATTTAGCATTGACTGAAATTCACTCCTGTCAACAATTGATATGGAACATGTTGGAAAATGGCGTTTCTTGGGAATTACTCCAACCCAAGACCCGAAACACTGTAGACCCGATTGTCATTGTTACCGTTGTTACGATAATAAAGTCTCGATTATACATTTTTTTACGGTTAACCATGAACGGTCATTGAATGGCAGTTGAACTGCAGATCGGATTCAAATTTAATGAAAATCGGACCCATCAGGTGGCATCGAGAGTTGATTACTGTAAAACATGAAATTATTGCGACATGAAATTATTGCGAGTTGGGGTGGTGAAACATAATTGCGACATGAAATTATTGCGAATTTTCATCAGGTTACCCCTTATTTGATTTAATCAATTAGTGAAATCCTATTTAAATCCGGGCTGTAGCCGAGCCATCCGTGGGTCTACAGAGTTGATTTTGGTCTTCTTGTTTAAATAAAGCTCTAATTTATGATTTCTATAACATCTGAAGCCTAAATTAAGACTTGCAATAATCAGATTTAGCTCCTGCATAATGCATGTTTAAGTATAATCTCGTACAGTTTATTTTATAGACAGGAAGTAACTGTCAATATGGCGTGTCTGATGTACATGTCAATCGTATAATTAATCTGTGAATTGTTTTATTTCTTATGTTATCAATTATTACATCAATGCTTGTTCATGTCAAACCTTGATTTCGACAAATGATTAAAAGTAATCCATCTAAAGATGTGGTTGTACATTGACACGTCATTTATCTGCGATATCAACATCGATTGAAGCGAAGAGAGAAATGGGGTTTAACGTCCACTCGACACAAACTAAGTCATTTCGAGACTAACATATGGTTTAATTGTATTTACATAATTTGCTTGCGCGTAGGGGTCTTTAGCGGTGGGAGGTAACCGGAGGACCCGGAGAAAACCCACGAGGTTGGACAGGCGACCCTACTCCTTGCCACGTACAACCGGGCATTCGAAACCACGCCAGTCGACTCAATGACAGACTTTATGATACAGCGCGCGCACGCTAACCATTCAGCCATCACCCCCCCCCCCCCCCGATTGAAGGAGAATATTGGTGTCAGTCATTATTACATATGTGATAGAACTGGTTAAATACATTCCAAATATAATTTTAACACAGACATTGCTACGGGAGACTTGTAACAAGCACGTGAAGAAACGGGAAGTGACGTCAAACATGACAAACACGAGTTGTCCTTCTATATAACATACTGAAGTAACGAGCGGTAACAGACAAACGATCGAATTTCATTTCACTGATAATTCCGTTGAAGTTGAAAAGTTATTATATGGGACGGTGAGAGAGTATCTCACAATTCAGAAATAGAATTGGCTGTCACTATATAAGGGACACGAGAAAAAGTAGAAAAATCCCGTGCATTCCCCCGTTTTTATTCATTCTGTTCTTAATAAAAACATGGTAATGCACGGACTTTTTCTAATTTGTTCGTTATCTTTTATCTAGGGTTCTTTTTTTGAATTGTCAGATATCCTCTCATCGTCTCATGTAACAACTTTTCATCTTCAACGGAATTATCAGTGAAATGAAATTCGATCGTTAGTCTATTACCGCTCGTTACTTCAGTCAGTTATATAGAAGGACAACTCATGTTTGTCATGTTTGACGTCACTTCCCGTTTCTTCACGTCACGTGCTTGTTACAAGTCTCCTGTAGCAATGATCTCGTGTTAAAATTATATTTGGGATGTATTTAACGAGCTCTATCACATATTTTATAATGACTGACACCAATATTGTCTTTTAGGTGTATCCGACTAAGTATCATTAGGTGGGCTAATGAAGACGGTCATACGCCATGCAGTGTGCTATGAGGGAAATCATGCCCGGACAGGGACGCAACGGTCTACTCTTACATCGAATTTCATGGGATCTTTTACGTGCACGCCAATGTGTACACGGGACCGCGGTTCTTCGTCCCACCCGAACGACTATACGCTGTCCCTTGCAAGACCTTTACGCCTTGCATCACTGACAAAGGGAGGGGGCGGGGGCACGCCAGAAAATCCCGATTAACTTTCTCGGCCAAAGTAGGGATGAAACACGGGACCTCCAGGGTAGCGAGCTAACGTCACTAGACACTAGTCGTTTATCGGCGGTCCTATATGTGTATGTAGATATATTTATTATTGTACGTTTCCGGTATTAAAGATTGACGAATCATTCTAGAGTGTTGTAATATCTGTAGAACCATCCCGATCAGTTCACATCACGATTATCTTATCTTGTTTGTGTGTTTATTTAAACCAGATAAAACACAATAACACCCTTTGATTTCAAATCAAAATGGAATACAGTGTTTGACCAAACCTTCGTCAACATATGTCGCCTTTCAAAGCTTAGCACATGTTTGTGAAACAACATGCCTAGATTAGAAAATAGAACTAGATTTAAGTGTATGTGGATCTCGGTTAGAATTTACTTTAAGATAACGACACTAAAGACGCAGTATGTAAGATTTAGATAAAGAGCTGACAGTTCTCTCTATAATAGTTTAAAGAGATAGAGAGGGAGGGGGGGGGGGGTAACGTCTACTTGACACAAACTAGTGGCTTCGGGGTTAACATATGGTTAAATTTTATTTCAATAATTCGCTTGAGCGTAGGGGTCTTTAGCAATGGGAGGAAACAATTTTCAAGTAGCTTTTAGCGATGAAATAAACATGCGGTTTGCGCATGCCCGGGTCTCGCAATGGCCGTCAGATCAAACGTATTTTGTGTATGTTTTTAATCGCAGAATTCTACTTAAAAATAGTGTTGAATCATTATAAATGTATGTCGGCTGTGGCAAGAAATGATTCCTTTGGCGAATAAATTAGAATAAAGGTGAAAAATAGTAGGTAAGGATTCCAAAATAGCCTTAGAACAGAGGAGGGGAAGAGCGGTATTTTCATATTGCGGCTATATAGGGCCTGATAGGAACTGTCAGTGGACATCGTCCGCTCAGAGACAGTTCCTAAAGGAACTATCTCATTTTTATGTGTAATGATTATATTTGTGACAGATGGTCCAGCACACCTCGAGAAGAACGGTCCAGATTAATCAACAAAGTAGCAGACCTGCTAGAAAAGGACCTGGAAAAATTTGCAGAAATGGAAGCACGTGATCAAGGGAAACCACTCCGACTAGCCAGATTAATAGATATACCAAGAGCTATTTATAACTTGAGATTTTTTGCTTCTGCTATTTTACACGATTTGAACAGGTAGGCACACTTGCACTTAAATTACACTTACACTAAAATTACCCTTTACCGTTACACTTACACTAAAATTACCCTTTACCGTTACACTAAAATTACCCTGTACCGTTACACTAAAATGACCCTTTACACTTACACTACAATTACCCTTACACTAAAATTACCCGTACACAAAAATTACCCTTTACCCTTACACTAAAATTACCCTTTACCCTTACACTAAAATTACCCTTTACACCTACACTAAAATTACCCTTTACCCTTACACTAAAATTACCATTAACCCTTACACTAAAATTACCCTTTTACACTTACACTAAAATTACCCTTTTACACTTACACTAAAATTACCCTTTACCGTTACACTAAAATTACCCTTTACACTAACACTAAAAATACCCTTTACACTTACACTAAAATTACCCTTTACACTAACACTAAAAATGCTTTTTACACTTACACTAAAATTACCCTTTACACTTACACTAAAAATACCCTTTACACTTACACTAAAATTACCTTTTTACACTTACACTAAAATTACCTTTTTACACTTACACAAAAATTACCCTTTTACACTTACGCTAAGATCTTCAATTACTAAAACACTTACATCAAATTTACCGTTACACGTACTCTAAGATCTTTAATTACCGTAACACGAAGATCTTCAATTGCTGGTACGCTTACACTACAGTCTTCAATTACAAAAACACTTGCACCAAAATTAGCGTTATACGCACACAAAGATCTTCAATTACCGTTAACACATCCCCTGGCATCCCATTCCTAATACTAACCTCGGAACTTATTGACCAACAGCCATGACTCAGTATTGTTAAATCATTAGTCAAGATGATATTAGATGTTATTTCACATCAAACATTTTATTCTGCTCTTATACATGTTCAAATGATTTGCCCCTATCTGAAACACCTTTTATTGGCTGAAATTAAATCAGACAACTTCTTAACATTAAAAATGTTTTATACGTTATAGTGTAAATAGGAAATATGCAGTTTAAAATCATATATTGCTGGCTCGGAAATAAATCTATATCATTTACAGTCATCGGTAATTGCAAGCCATTCAGACTATCTTGTTATTCATTTGTTATTTAGTTCAACAGTTTTAGAGAAAGCTGGGGCGATCAACTATACCATCAAACATCCGGTTGGAGTAGCAGGACTTATCTCCCCTTGGAACCTACCACTATACCTATTGACATTCAAGCTGGCTCCCGCCATAGCTGCTGGTAACACAGTCGTTGCTAAGCCCAGTGAGATGACCTCAGTCACAGCTTACAAATTATGTGAACTTTTTAATGAAGCAGGTACGTACGTCTAATGGGTCCGAGTCTAAAGCCGTTTTGGTAACTTTGAATTTCCAACTCTGATTCTGACGTTTTGTGATCGGATGTCTGTAATCCAACTGAGGCCAAATTCTGACGTTTTAGTTATGGGTGGACTCCGATGCACGAATGGGAGATAAGATGTTAAATTTTCAGAGTTATCGATCTTGGTGAGGACCCGGACCTGAATGATAGTAAGACAAAACCGTTTTTTTTTCTCTCCATTAATATTAGTGATACTACCAGCCTTCTAACTTTTCTCTTCCTAATCAGAAAATAACAATATCTAAGGTGAACCGAACTTTCATCCAAAATTCTGTTTCATAAAAATAAAGATCTCGTATTGGAAAACTCTGTCTCGCTTTTGTTTAACACCATTCCGTTTCTTTGTAGAGCTAACGTGGATTAGGCGTTTTTTATTGTTCATGTGGTCATAATTATATTGTCGTCGACTCCCGCCCGTCTGTCTGTCCACCGCGGGAGCCACGGTGACTCAGTGTCCAAGTCTGAAACCAAAACTTCAAAAACACTGACCTATACACAGTGATTATAAGGCACCGCTAACAAAAGGCAACCACACCCGACAATTCCCGATAAATTTTGTCCGTCAACGCAGGGATCGAACAACGTCTTACTCACTGAGCCACCGTGCCCCACTAATCCATTGATAGGTCCTATCAGGATATATTCAGAGTTGTTTAGTAGCCAATCTAACGTCTAGTCCATGTTAGCATATTTTATAAGTTTTTTTCAATTTACAGAAAGGCAGAAAAAGTGAACAAAGTTTTCTTTAAAGCAATTGTTGGGATCTGTCCAGGAATTCCGCACGATGCAGTATTGGTTAGTATGGTCCTTCTGAAGGACCACCTCGCTATCTACCCTATGGGTAGGTAGATTATACTAGCGTCACGTCCACACGGAGATGATGTATATTGGATGGTTGCTTATTGATCCACTAATTGATCGACATTTAGGTTGAGAAGATCAATACTCACTTCTTGAATTGTTATCTTTAATTTCTACCACTGAATGCACGAATTCTGGTTTCTAGGGTAGTCAGACTGGGTGCATCACTGCACAAACACAGATCAGTGAATAGCATGTGGAATTAACTAAGGGAATATACAAAAGCAATACCGTAGTGTAACAAACATAACGTAGACACATCACCGCGCTGTAGTCAATAAACTGGATTTTGCTATTTACATATCTGAAAAACGCTCAAGGGTTGCTGGATTGCATCACGCAGTTTCTGGTTCTACATATCTCAAATAGATAGACGCTGTAAAATGGACCCTTCGCTGGCGGACTAGAGTAGGCAATATACAACAGCCAGGACCCTTCACTGGCGTACTAGAGTTGGGATTATACAGCCAGGACCCTTCACTCGCGTACTAGAGTAGGCAATATACAACAGCGAGGACGTACTGTAACACAAACAGTACGTGGACTTTGCCAGACAAATATGCGATAGTAACCGACGTTGTTATGACAATGTAATATCGGCTAATTAGTGACAATAACTAAGCAACCACGTCGTTATATAATATTCAGAATTTTCTAGGAAGTTCTAACATCAATCAATATTTGTCCCATTTCGACTCTTTTTGCTTTTTTAATGCTCAACCCGGAAGCCCACAGGGAATGGTGCTTGTCCTGATGAACCTTATCAACGTTCCAGATATCCTTCATTGATTCAATAATCACAACTTGAAAGTTTTGTTTTCACCTTTTTTAGGATTTCCCCCAGGAGTAGTTAACATGGTGTTTGGTTTTGGTCATAAAGCTGGCGAAGCCCTGGTCTCGCACGCTGATGTTCCTCTAATATCCTTTACTGGGGGAACCGTCACAGCTGAAAAAGTGCGCATGTCCGCCTCCAAACATTGCAAGAAATTGTCACTTGAGGTAAGGAATTAATGGTTCAGGGTTGACGGCATTGTTGTTGAATGTCCTAAGGGCACAGGTTTGTATGTAATCCCAGGAATGTAATGTCGTGTAATATTTCAAGTCTTTCGTCCGACCCTGAAAGTCGCTCGATTCAGGAGACGACCACCGTCAAGATCATCGGCCAAATTATTTCTTGTAAATCAGTGAAGCCTGAATAATACAGACACATGACTGTACAGCTCAGTGGACGCTCCCGACCGACACCCCGATTCATTGACATAATTTTATATTTATGGTTTATTTTGTATAATGTCTTTGTTGTTTTCCTTGTCTACAGGTGTCTCTTATCCAACACAATAACCGCGCGGATATAAATCTAGCACTTTACCATGAAGTTACAGATCTAGCACATTAAAGGACAATATTGGTGTCAGTCATTATAAAATATGGGATAGAACTGGTTAAATACATCCCAAATATAATTTTAACACAGAGATCATTGCTACGGGAGATGTGTAACAAGCACGTGAAGAAACGGGAAGTGACGCCAAACATAACAAACACGAGTTATCCTTCTATATAACTGATTGAATTAACGAGCGATAAAAGACACGCGATCGAATTTCATTTCACTGATAATTCAGTTGAAGATGAAAAGTTATTATATGAGACGGTGAGAGGATATCTGACAATTCAAAAATAGAATTGGCTGTCAATAGATACGGGAAAACGAGAAAAATAGAAAAATCCCGTGCATTCCCCCGTTATTATTCATTCTGTTCTTAATAAAAACATGGTAATGCACGGGCTTTTTCTAATTTGTTCGTTATCTTTTATCTACTGACAGCCAATTCTATTTTTGAATTGTGAGATACCCTCTCACCGTCCCATATAATAACTTTTCAACTTCAACGGAATTATCAGTGAAATGAAATTCGATCGTTTGTCTGTTATCGCTCGTTAATTCAATCAGTTATATAGAAGGATAACTCGTGTTTGTCATGTTTGGCGTCACTTCCCGTTTCTTCACGTGCTTGTTACACATCTCCCGTAGCAATGATCTTTGTGTTAAAATTATATTTGGAATGTATTTAACCAGTTCTATCACATATGTAATAATGACTGACACCAATATTGTCATTTAAGCACGGAGTTACAAATCTAGCTCCATAACCATGGAGTAACAGATCTAGCACTCTAACCCTTGAGTTTCAGATCTAGCACACTAACCATTGAGTTACAGATCTATCAGACTAACCATTTGGTTACAGATATAGCTGATTAACCGTTGACACCCCCCCCCTCTCACTGGTAAAGAACTGATCAAGATTTTTTTATATTTTAATTGATAGCCCGGTTGGAGCTGACGTGCCATAAAACCATATTTCATTCATTCATTATTTTAATTGTAATGATTTTAGTTAGGTGGGAAGAATGCCGCCGTAGTCTTTAAAGATGCTGAATTGGATAAATGTGTTTCACAGTGTATCAAGTGAGTTATTGAATTTGTTGTTTTGTATTTTGTCGACTTATCTTGTAATATTGCTAACATATCTGCTCCCCATGAAGTAACCGGACGATTCACGATGGGGATGTATTTCCTGTAGATGAAATCAGATGTTTAGATTTATGTTCAGATGCCCATAGATAGTCACGTGATGTTTTTTTTTTCTCGCTTACTCCACGTGACGACTGTATTTTGGCGCCCATCGATCCCAATCACTGGCCATTGATCCCGATCACTGGCTGCGCTTTGGTGTCCATGGATAGTTCACTAGATGACTTCAGATATTTACTTACTGCGGGTTACTCCTCTTGATGACTGTGTTCGGTGCCCGTAGACAGTCCCCTGATAACTGACTGTGCTTTGGGGCCCATAGATAGGTGACTTTAGATGATTAACTATAAAACATTTGTCCACTTGATGACTGCCGGTGCTTCGGTGCCCATAGATACTTCATTTCATGAATCCAGATATTTAATTACCAAGCGTCGGTACCCATTTAGAATCCTTTGGATGACTCTAAATCAGGGGGGCCAAACTCATTTACATTCAGGGACCACATCAACTAAAGTTTAACATCACGTGGGCCGGAGATATACAAATATTCTAAAAAACAAAGTCAAACGTCTTTGAACTTCACTGATTTCTAAAAACAAAGCCAAACGTCCTTGACACGGGTAATTTTTTTAGACTGGTTTCCAAATTACCAAGATGTAATATTGAACACAACGTTCTCTTGTATTACATACAACTTAGATATCTATGAAATACAGTACATAATTCAGAGTTTTACTGAAACCGGAAAACAATAAAAAATAGTTTCTAACAATTATCGACACGTCATTGTGTTGAAATCTGTTCCACGGGCCACATTCAAGCCCTTGACGGGTCGGATCTGGCCCGCGGGCTGCATGTTTGACACCCCCTGCTCTCGATAATAGAATGTCCATGTTTACCCGTCTTCATTGAATCGGTTGGTGCATCATTTTATTTCGTCTTGTTTGATTCTAGACGCGTTTATGTTTTGTCAGGTCGTCGTTCATGAATCAAGGTGAAATATGTCTATGTACCAGTAGAATCTTTGTGCAGCGTCAACTTTTCCCCCATTTTCTGGAATTATTTGTTCAAGCCACCAGGTAAGTTTAAATGTTGAATGAGTTATGGTAAACTTCATTTGAATTGTTAAATGTGCAATGTAGAACAATTTGCACGTACAGTTGTGTTTCTGTCGAGGTTGTAGCCAAGATGCCAGTGTGTCGTACCGCTCGACTACCTCCGTCACACGCAACTCAGAAGTTACAAGTTGTAGCTCCTGGTTATTTTGTGTTTGCGGGACGTGGACGGGATGGAACGGTGTATAGTCCTTCGGATAACACGTTGGGTTGTCGAGCACGAAAATGAACCCTTGATAGTTAGAAATCGAACAGAGAGAGAGAGGGAGAGAGAGAGAGGGGTCCTTAACCTTCGTATTGTATTGGCCAACAGAGAGGGAGAGAAAGAGAGAGAGAGAGAGAGAGAGAGAGAGAGAGAGAAAGATGGGGTTCAACGTCCACTCGACACAAACTAGGTCATTTCGGGACTAACATATAGTTCAATTTTATTTCAATAATTCGCTTGCGCGTAGGGGTCTTAAGCAGTGGGAGGAAGCCATAGGCCCCCGAGAAAACCCACGAGGTTGGACAGGCGACCCTACTCCTTATCACATACAACCGTGGAATCGAAACCATGCCAGTTGACTCAATGACAGACCTTATGATACAGCGCTCACGCGCTAACCATTCGACCATACCATTTTCGTCTTAGTACACTGCATAGTGTATTCACTTCTTCATTAGATGTAGACAAGTAAAACCTTAAACATCATTTCATTGTTGTTTATTGTGTTACAGGAAATTGACTGTTGGTAACCCGTATGATGAAACGGCTATAATTGGAGCACTGATTAGCAATCAACATTTAAACAAGGTCAAAGGTTATGTTAAAATGGCTGAGAAAGAGGAAGCCGACGTATTGTGTGGTGATATGTCTGATGGGTTAAATTTAACAGACGAGAAGAAAAATGTAAGCTGTGTAACTGATGTCTCTCAATCTGATTAAAACACAGATCCTATTTCGTTTCGTTTTTATAGTTCAAAATGTCGTTTTAGTTGTCTTTACTACACGTGTAGGCCATCGAAAGTATAAAAAACGAAACGAAATATAGATCTTTATCTTAATCAAATTGGATGTCTCTTTATCCATCAGAACTTCTGATCAACAACAGAAGCCATTATTTACTTTTGATCTACAACGCTTTACACCTGACAATATTACACTGCATGGCTTCATATCGCCAATAGGGCCGAACAAGTAGGACGCTAACCCTATTTCGTTTCGTAGATCAAGATGGTCTTTTTTCTTTGTGTTTTTTCTTTTTTTCAATTTATTTATGGTACAATTACATGTATTTTAAAAAAAAAAAACTAATTTATTGACCGTAATATAATACAGTAATATATATTAACATACAAGTACATAAAAATAGAAGCCATTAAAGACACATTCAACATTACAATCTGTTCATGATGTTTGTAACCTTTACAATCTCAACAGTTCGAGGGGGATTAGTGACTCAAAAGGAATTTCCACTTTTCTAATTTGTCTTTATCTACTTGCGAGTCTATCTCTGCGCTTGAATGTAGAAAAGCGATGTACTCTTCTTTAGTTGGTTGATTAGAGGCAAATTTTGTCTTATAAATATTTTCCGGCGTGGTTCCCCCTTGTCGGTGATGCAGGACGGATGGCCTGACAAGGACTGCTGTCTAGTCCTTCGGATGAGACGAAAAACCGAGGTCCTGTGTATACATTGGAATGCACGTAAAAGATCCCTTGGCAGTTGGAATTCGATATAAGAGTAGGCGATAGTGCCGCTGCCCGGGCAAAATTTCCCTCATAGCACACTGTATGGCGTATGTCCGTCTTCATTAGATAGAAGCAGAACAGTAGGCCGTTAAACCCCATTTCATTTCATTTCTTTTTGTCTTATAAATATAATACTTAGTTAATATTATTGCATGGTTCACAAAGGAAAGCTCAGTCAGGTTTGTGGAATTTCCGATCTCTTCGTGCACATTATAGTATCCAGAATGCATGGCAGGAGAAGCCAAGGTCTGACAAAACAAAAAAAATGGGTGAAATTGTATCAAATATGATATTTAACATAATGCTGTCTCCACCTTGGATCCTCATCCCGACTCCCCTGGTTAAACCCGTTCTTCCCAGTAATTATTAATGTCTGCTGATGACATGTGATTTTGTTGCAGGGTTATTTTATGAGACCAACAGTAATAACGAATGTTCGTGATGAATCTCGACTGATGACGGAAGAAATATTTGGTCCTGTTGTTTGTGTCGTGCCATTTGATGATGAAGATGAGGTAAACATAATAGGGGGTGGGGGGGAATACCGCAATTATCGACCGGTTTCCATGAAACGTCATGATAATAATATCTCAGAATAGGCATAATTTCCACCACTTCCGATCAGCTGCTTTTGATGTATCCGATTACCAAACATTTCATGCAGAACGACCGACTCCAGACCACAAGTATCAACCGATATCCATGAAATTTACAGATTATGATTACATGTATATTAATAGACATTATTCTCCCGACATGTTATAATCATTTGTTGTTGGTTAATCACAGGTTATAGAAAGAGTTAATAAAGTAAAATATGGTCTTTGTGCTACAGTTTGGACTCAAGATGTTTCACGACTTCATCGTGTTTCTCATCAGCTACAGGTATACTTTTATATTTATTATTATTATTATTATAATATCAACTACAGGTATACTATTATTATTATTATTACTATTATTATTATTGTTATTATTATTAAATTAAATCAATACTATTATATGCGTTTGTATCGACCACTGATTAGCTAAAGGGATCTGCATTCAATCAAATCGATTACCCTAATCAACAAATTTATCGAAACCGATTTCCGAAGCGATTACCACAAATCGCAAAATCATCTCTAATCTGCTTTTTAAACTATGTCCACTCCAGCTAAAAGGCGCATTTAACGAACTTAAAGTAATTTGAAATCGACATCTGTATTAAATTCAAATCGATTTGGCAAGTCGATAAAAAAAAGCCTTTTTTATTATATTTAATCAATATGAAGCCACGGTGAATAAGTGAGTAAGGCTCTGACTCACTAACCTAGTGGTCTCTGGTTCGACCCCGGTGATGGCCGAGAAAGCTCCATGGGATTTTACGGTGTGGTTCCCCCTTGTCAGTGGTGCAGGGCAGAGGGCCTGGAAAGGAACAGCGTCTAATCGTTTTGATGGGACGAGAAAAATACATAGGTGTCCTGTAGCCTACACTTTGGTGTTTACGTAAAAGAACTCTTGAAAGTTGGAATTCAATTGCTGTTTGCTGTCTAGGCAAACTTCCCATCACAGCACACACTTAATGACGTATAACAGTCTTCATTGGCGTGCACGTAAAAGACGTCTTTAAAGTTGGAATTCCATAGCTGCCTGGGCTAAACGTTTCGCATAGCACGGTGTATGCTGGTTTTCATTGACCCCGTTGGAGCAGAAACATTGAACATTAAACCATCCATTCATTCATTCATTCATTCATTCATAAAGCCATTGTATTTTGGGGGTCACGGTGGCTAAGTGGGTAAGACGCTGGCTCGCTAGTCTGGAAGTTGGGTGTTCGATCCCTGCATTGGCCGAGAAAGTTCATCCAGATTTCCCAATGTGGTTGCCCCTTGTCAGTGATGCAGAAAGGAGGGCCCGACAAGGACAGCTGTCTAGTCGTTCGGATGGGACGAAAAACCGAGGTCCCGTGTACCCATTGGCGTGCACGTAAAAGATCCCTTGACAATTGGAATTCGATATATGGGCCGTAGTGCCGCTGTCCGAGCAAAATGTCCCCTCATAGCACACTGTATGGCGTATGCCGGAGCAGAACAATAGGACGTTAAACACCATTTCATTTCATTAAGCCATTGTATTTTGACCCTGTTGGACATTACACCAATCATTTATTCATTGTATTTTACAGGTAGGAACTGTGTGGGCCAACTGTTGGCTGGTCCGAGATTTAAACCTACCTTTTGGTGGAGTAAAAGAATCGGGTGTTGGAAGGGAAGGATTAAAAGATTCCATTGATTTTTACACAGAAGAAAAAACAATATGTCTTCAATTATAGCAAAGTTTTCAACTTCACAACACTCATGGTTAATCTTTAAGTGACATTTTAAGCGATTGGGAAACACATTAATGGAACACAGTTTTTATGGGAAACAATCACTGGTTTTATTCTAAAAGCACAACGTTTCTACAAGTATCATCTTATCGTTTTCAATCATTCACGGTTAATTTGTTGTCCTAGTAAGCGTTCGTTTCATGTCGTTTGTTTTTTTTTGCTTTAAATTCGCTGACATACTTTCAAATAAGGCCTGCACCATCTGTAGCTAACACCTCACCTCAATGACCTCTCTACCTACTGACCTCTGACCTCTACCATAAGCCCTATCTATAGAAATGGTTACCAATAGTTACGGTTCCATTAAGAACCGAATGAAGATTTTTGTAATTAAATGTCACTAGTGATCAATGATTCAAAGCTAGTGTTGAGAATGTACAGAAAGTGATTAGATATTGTACAATAGTCATTTATTTAACAGGTGTGTAAATGACTGTACAACGTGTATTTACTATTGTTATAATAGACTACCCACCACCGAATACACAAACCCAAACAATAATGGCGTATATATTATATCACGTATAAGTAGCGTCATACACAAGCCCAGTCAATAATGGTGTATAATATTATCACTTATTAGTGACGTCATAAAGCCTACTTGCCATCCAACCTCTGTATCACCATTGGTCTCATTTCGTTCTACTCCATCAATCATCAAGGGCAGATAATTTGAATACGTTGTTCCCTGTGGATGAACCTAGGGGAAAGCGGAATGAGACCACTGTGGATACCGATATTGGCCTGCCACCTGACATATATTTATTTTAGTACAAGGATTATCTTCATAAGTAAATCATATCGACTTTACAGTGAATGCTATGGGTTTTTATGGACTTCTGAATTGTATTATGAATAGTTTTGATTGATGGTAAAAGATCCCTTGGCAGTTGGAATTCGATATAGCGCCGCTGCCCGGGCCAAATGTCCCTCATAGCACACTGTATGGCGTATGCCCGTCTTCATTAGCCCAGGTTAGTAGCAGAACAGTAGGACGTTAAACCCCATTTCATTTCATTTCGTTTCATTTTTGGTTGACGCAGTGTGTAACATGCCAGGAGGGATAACTCTTGTATTCAGGAACATTAAAGGGGAGATAACAAAGACTGTATTTGTCTGATTGTATTTATGTATATATTGTAAATTGGCTTATAAAAAGTGTATAAATTTTTAAATAAATTGATTTTAATACACATCGTTATTTTATAATGATTTGTCACAATACACATGAAAACATCGTTCTATATTATATAAATTCCAATTATTGGTGCTGACGTGCAATTAAACAATATTTTATTCATTCATTCATTATAAACACCAATAAATCACCATTCTTTTTATAATACTACATCGCACTTTTATATAGGGGTTGGGGGATGGATGAATGGTTAGCGCGTGCAAGTTGTATCATAAGGCCTGTCATTGTCAATTGGCTTGGTTTCGATTCCCTGGTTGTACATTACTAGGAATATGGTCACTGTCCAACCTCGTGGATTTCCTCCGGGTCCTCCGGTTTCCCCCCACTGCTAAAGACCTCTACGCCTAAGCGAATTATTAAAATAAAATTGAACCATATGTTAGTTCCGAAATGACCTGGTTTGTGTCGAGTGGATGTTAAACCCCCTCTCTCTCTCGGATCGTAAATTCATGGATTATTGCCCCTGATTGTACGAAAAAGATCTCGGATGGGTTTATATCGAATCGTAAATTCATAGATTATTGCCCCTGATGTTTAAAACCCTTCAAAAATATCTTCTTTACACAATTATCACTGATTTCGGACGAACAACCGAACGGAAACTTCCTGTTATAATGGTCCTTTCCAAATACTGGCAAAACAGGCAACACTATACTATTGCTGTGGACAGTCTTAAGGCACAGATTTTCCTCGAAACTCAAAATATACGTTAAGAATAGAAAGATCTTGTTGAGCATTGGGAGGCAGACCACCATAAATTGTAGTTCGTCTATTTACGGCAATTCTCGCTCTGTCTCTTTTCTCCCCTTTTGCATGCCCATTTTTGTTGATTTTGTGGTCTAGAATGGACGAAGAGGGTTTGAATTAACATTTTCTGCCAGGTTTTGGTAAATATTTATGATTTTGAGGCGGAAGGATAACCGAGTTATCAGGTTGGTTACGGTGACATGTACGACGAATAGTTACATATTTTTAGTATGGCCGAATGGTTAGAACGTACGCGCTGTATCATAAAGCCTGTCATTGAGTCAACTGGCGTGGTTTCGAATCCCCGGTTGTACGTGACAAGGAGTAGGGTCGCCTGTCCAACCTCGCGGGTTTTCTCAGGGTCCTCCGGTTTCCTCCCACTGCTAAAGACCCCTACGCGCAAGCGAATTATTGAAATAAAATTAAACCATATGTTAGTCCCGAAATGACCTCGTTTGTGTCGAGTGGACGTTAAACCCCATTTCTCTCTCTCTCTACATGTACATTCATTTTCAAAGTGTGATAAATGGTTCCTTCATAGTGAAACATTTTAACTAAATACCATGCAAAAGGTATATTACAATAGTTGACTGTTTTGATTGTGTCACAGGCGACATGAATATAGTCCATTAATAACTATTCATATTTAACTGTCTAAACGATAAAGAAAGACAACCAGGGCGACTGAAAAACACAAAGTTGGAGATTATCTATGTCTAATCTATAAAAAGACAACCCAGGCGATTGATAAACACAGCAATATGTTCTGTTAATCTCGGTATTTTACTATTTAAACGCTAAAGAAAAACAACTTGGGCGACTGATAAACACAGCAATAAAACAAAATAAACAACAAACAAGCAACAAACATAGTCTGTTTATTTGCGATGTTGGGTATATTTTAATATCTTATTGGTTTAAAGAAGTAAAGAATAATATATTGTAGTTGTTAGTATCTAGCTACTTTAAAGGTGTACAGGTGAAGTTGTAGTTGTTTGTATCTAGCTATTTAAAGGTATACAGGTAAATATATAGTAGTTGTTGGTTTAACTGGTTACTTTAAAGAGATACAGGTGAAGTTGTTTGTATCTTGTTGGTTTAAGGAGATACAGGTTATTTATAACCAAAACAAATCGACTCTTCACAATAGGCTTCTGAAAGTACAACATAATATGGTTTATAATAATAATAAACATCATAATCCTTTCAATATTTCACTAGTTGTAGAAAAAAACCAAAACATCATTAGAGTCTTTGTGCTATATTTTGACATTTTGGTCATTATGTTCGCCATTTTGAAATCTCCGATTAAAAGAAAGACAGTGGATAAACCTATAGTACACCACGGTGGACGACTAGAACACCTTAAAGGCTCAATACCACTCTTGTGGTAACTGAATAATATGTCCCAATCTTTATTCTGGTCAACAAATTGTACTATTTTAGAATATTTCAATTAATTCATGATACAAATTTCATCTTAACACACCTTATGTAAAAATTTTGAAAAATTCAACATAATGGTTTGAAACGTCTAACGTAAACCTTTTCAAATGAAACTTCGATTTAAAAATATTTTCGAACCCTCTGAACAAATAAAATAGGATGTAATGGATAATTTACACAACAGGTAGGACACTTAAACATCTAGTACTTAGATAGAGATATTATTTATTTTCTGGAGCTTTCAAGCCAGCAAGAGTGTTATTGTCCCTTTAAGGTACACTCTCCAGTTTCCATCAAGGTAGCCAGAGAGTAAACTTATAATACACACCCCAGGTTACACCATAGTACCCTTTACACGAGGAGAGGTCGTTTCTTTCTGCTTTACATATCAATAGAATCATGAATATCTACCTGCACAAAATCCCTTAACACAAGGGTACCCCATGCAATTCTTTTCGTCTTTACATTGTTCTATAAATATCAGTAATATATATCATTATAATATGACACCATGAATATCATGAATATATCATTATATATGACACTATGAATATCATGAATATATCATTATATATGACACTATGAATATCAGGAATATCATTATATATGACACCATGAATATCATGAATATATCATTATATATGACACTATGGATATCATGAATATATCATTATATATGACACTATGAATATCATGAATATATCATTATATATGACACTATGAATATCAGGAATATCATTATATATGACACCATGAATATCATGAATATATCATTATATATGACACTATGAATATCATGAATATATCATTATATATGACACTATGAATATCAGTAATATCATTATATATGACACTATGAATATCAGGAATATCATTATATATGACACTATGAATATCATGAATATATCATTATATATGACACTATGAATATCAGGAATATCATTATATATGACACTATGAATATCAGGAATATCATTATATATGACACTATGAATATCAGGAATGTCATTATATTGAAGTAATGTATTCATCAACATGGCAACAGAAACGAGTTATATTTACATATTTCTAGATATATTATCGTTAATATATATAAATAGCCAGGGTTGGTATAATTGACCCATTGTCTATAATATATATAAATAGCCAGGGTTGGTATAATTGACCCATTGTCTATAATATATATAAATAGCCAGGGTTGGTATAATTGACCCATTGTCTATAATATATATAAATAGCCAGGGTTGGTATAATTGACCCATTGTTTATAATATATATAAATACATCAGGTTGGTATAATTGACCATAATATATATCATATTCTATATTTACCGTGACAAACACCGTTTGAACACTTGCCGCCAACATCAGTACAATCATTACCTTCATCCTGTTCATCACAGCCATTGATAGCTATAATAAAGATAATTTACAATATAAAACTGTGCCTCTTTTAAAAGTTATAAAGCTAACATGGTCTGGTTGACAAGGTGCACAATCCGAGCAATCATCCACCGGTCAATAGTGTCACCAGGTGTTCCTTTAAAAGATAAAATGGTAACGTGATTGGCATAGGATAGTGTCACTAGGTGTTCCCTCTGTAAACAATTTAAGCATACACTACTAAGCACAAGGTATCTATCACTGGGATATAGGAAAGTGTCACCAGGTGTTCCTTCTGTGAACAAATTAAGTATAAACTGCTAAGAATAAGGTATCTGTCACTGAGATACGAATGAAGCAAGTAGAACAGTATTGGTACTAGATAGAGACGTGTTATGGATAACATATAATTAATATCATACTTACGCATGCACGTGCCATCTACACATTTACTAAACGTAGTACAGAAGTTATCTCCACATCGTTTACCTGAAACAATAAAATTAAACCATACAATTCAATATGCTTTATTAACAGCAACTTTTTTCTCTCACATTAGGTCACTACTTTGTGTTGTTATTGATAATAACAGTCCAGTATGAAATGAAATGAAATGAAATGGGGTTTAGCGTCCTACTGTTTTGCTCCTAAACTGGGCTAATGAAGACGGGCATACGCCATACAGTGTGCTATGAGGGAAATTTTGCCCGGGCAGCGGCGCTACGGCCTACTCTAATATCGAATTCCAACTGCCAAGGGATCTTTTACGTGCACGCCAATGTGTACACGGGACCTCGGTTTTTCGTCCCATCCGAACGACTAGTCAGCTGTCCTTGTCAGGCCCTCCGTCCTGCATCACTGACAGGGGGGAACCACGCTGGACAATCAGGATGAACTTTCTCGGCCAATGCAGGGATCGAACACCCGACCTCCAGGCTAGCGAGCCAGCGTCTTACCCACTTAGCCACCATGATCTCCACAGTCCAGTGTACACAGATATTAAATAATTACTGTATATCGGGTTTTCCAGAAAATACGAGTACACCAGGCGGTGGACAAATTGACCATTTGTTTATTTAACAAGATCAGGGGCGTACATAAAGATTTTGTTTGGGTCTGTGTGTGTGAGGGGGGGGGGGGGGAGTAGCAAAAATGCGACCTTTCCCTATGTCCTAGGGTTACGGTTCTCCTTGTCATGTGCAACCGGGTAATCGAAACCACGCCAATTGACTCAATGACAGACCTTATGATACAACGCGCACGCGCTAACCATTCCCCCTCCCATATAAAAGTGTGATGTATTAAGTTAACACTTCGTCAAGGTCGTTGAGATGTAAATAAGGTTAGGACATGTAATTATTGGCGAGATTGTTTGTTAGGGTTAGGGTTAGGTCCAGGGATGGGGATTAGGGTTCGCATTAGCGCTAGCCTTGTTTACTTCTCGTGACCTTTGACCAAACTTGAAGCTGGCCTTATCCAATAGAAATGAAATGAAATGAAATGAGGTTTAACATCCTACTGCTAACCTGGGCTAATGAAGACGGGCATACGTCATACAGTGTGCTATGAGGGAAATTTTGCCCGGGCAGCGGCGCTGCGGCCTACTCTTATATCGAATTCCAACTGCCAATGGATCTTTTACGTGCACGCCAATGTGTACACAGGACCTCAGTTTTTCGTCCCATCCGAACGACTAGACAGCTGTCATTGTCAGGCCCAGATCTAACCCTATAATTCCTAACATGAACTGGGCTAATGAAGAACTGGTTTTATTGATTGTAACTCAACTAAATAATTATGAAACATACCCTTATCATGACATCTGGTGTATAGGCCGTTTTCGATTTCATCACAAAAACCATCTAAAATATAAAAATATATATAATTTAGTTGTATTGAACTTATTGTTTATAACTGGACGCCATACCAAACTGAAAGGGACCCTTTTATATGATAATATCCACACCACAATACGGAAATTCCCTAAACGCTTTTAACCTAATCCCTTAGAGGTATTTAGTAACTGGATAGAGCAATAAACTATAACACATACTTATGGAAGAACAGCTACTCATGGGTGACATTTCGCAGGTTTCCTCCTTTTCAGTGGAGCAGGACGGAGGGACCGACAAGGACAGCCGTCTAGTCGTTCGAATGGGACGAAAAACCGAGGTCCTGTGTACACATTGGCGAGCACGTAATAGATTCCTTGGCAGTTGGCTATCGATATAAGAGTAGACAGTAGCACACTGCATGACGTATGCCCGTCTTCATTAGCCGAGTCGGAGCAGAACAGTAGGACGTTAAAGGACAATATTGGTGCCAGTCATTATCACATGTGTGTTAGAGCTGGTTAAACACATTCCAAATATATTTTTAACACAGAGATCATTGCTACGATAGCTAAGTAATACAGGTTTCCCGTATCGGAACTTACAAACGCCAAAGGAAAATGAAATGAAATGAAATGGAGTTTAACGTCCTACTGTTCTGCTCCTAACCTGGGCTAATGAAGCCGGGCATACGCCATACAGTGTGCTATGAGGGAAATTTTGCCCGGACAGCGGCACTACGGCCTACTCTTATATCGAATTCCAACTGCCAAGGGATCTTTTACGTGCACGCCAATGTGTACACGGGACCTCGATTTTTCGTCCCATCCGAACGACTAGACAGCTTTCCTTGTCAGGCCCTCCGTCCTGCATCACTGACAAGGGGAAACCACGCCGGAAAATCTGGATGAACTTTCTCGGCCAATGCAGGGATCGAACACCAGACTTCCAGGCTAGCGAGCTAGCGTCTTACCCACTTAGCCGCGTGATCCCCAACGCCAAAGGAAAACACGAGTCGCCGCTCTATATAACTGACTGAAACGACGAGTGATAACAGATACACGGCCGAATTTACTACTCACTACTAATTCCCTCGATGACCAAAAGTTGTTATATGGGACTGTAAGAGGATACCTGATAATTCAATAAAGTAATTGAATGTCATTAGATAAGAGAACACGAGAAAAATAGAAATAGTCCGTACATTCCCTTGTTTATATTCATTCTATACCTTATAAAAACATGGTAATGCACGGACTTTTTCTGTTTTTCTTTCGTGTTCTCTATCTAGTGGCAGTCAATTCTTTTTATGAATTGTCAGATATCCTCTCACAGTCTCACACAGCAACTGTTGGTCTTCAAAGGAATTATTAGTGAGCAGAAATTCGGCCGTGTATCTGTTATCAGTCAGTTATATAGAGCGGTGACTCGTGTTTTCATTTGGCGTTCGTCACTTCCGATACGGGAAACCTGTATTACTCAGCTCTATCGTAACAATGATCTATGGGGTAAAAGTATATTTGGAATGTGTTTAACCAGCTCTAACACATATGTGATAATGACTGGCACCAATATTGTCCTTTAAACACAGTAAATCTCTAAAGAAGTGTATATGATGTCTTTGTCGGGTGAAATAGTGTGTGCGTATTGCGAGGGGAGAGGGGAAGTTGATGATGTTGATATCAATGATGATTATTAATGTCTTTTTCTACATAAGATGACTGTAAGAAGACTGAACTAAACTCGAGGGGACATGAGCCATGTTGTTCAAATTGGTCTTGATCAACATCTTATAGGTTCGTAAAATAAAAATTTTAAGCAAAGTGGATCTCTAAAAAAGTGGCTACGGCAATGTCATAAAATGTTGAGAAATTTGATCAATGTTCAAATATGATCATCTTTTAGATTAGTGAAACATTAATTTCTAGCGATGTGGATCTCCCGGAACAAGCAGCGGGCGGGATGGGTAGAATGTAACCTGAACACGTTTTTTTTAGATATTTACAGTGCTAGAAAGCAATTTTTTACTAAACTAAACGGGGATCATCATCATATCAACTTTATCCCCCCTCCACCTCCCCCTTACGCCCCCCTCCCCGCCCCTTACAAAGCAACCTAGTTGTCCAAGGGCACCCTATATATTAGAAATTAATGTTTTATATGGTGATCATCAAGACCAATTTCGAAGCACGTGGTATTGATACCCCCACCCAATAAAATGCACGCCAATATCCTGCATTGCACCCTATTGACAAAGGGAAAAAGATGCCCACAGAGGAATTTTATATACTTATTGAGGTCCCAACAGCCAACATATGTTATACTTACAACCGGATATACAGGTTTTATTAACACAGACTTCCCGCTTAACAGCGTCACAGGCTTTACCGCCACAATTTTTAACTACAAAAAAAATGTACGGGTTTTAGACTATTCAACAAATGTTAATGTGAAAAAAACCCATTTATGATTGACTTATATACCTATCTAACAATTAAATGATTACGTGACATTTTACAAAGCAATCCACAAAATATACGTATGATGAGAATTGTGGTTTTATATGTACACTAGAACATGAATTGTAGTGTTATGTGGATAGGTAATGATTGGTTAGGTTATAAAGAAAGAGAGAGAGAAATGGGGTTTAACGTCCACTCGACACAAACTAGGTCATTTCGGGACTAACACATGGTTCAATTTTATTTCAATAATTCGCTTGTGCGTAGGGGTTACTAGCAGAGGGAGGTAACCGGAGGACCCGGAGAAAACCCACGAGGTTGGACAGGCGATCCTACTCCTTGTCACATACAACCGAGGAATCGAAACAACGCCAGCTGACTCAATGACAGACCGTATGATACAGCGCGCACGTGCTAACCATTCGGCCATCCAAATCGTCGGTGTTGTTATAAATGTGGTAGACTAGGTATCTTACCATCGGTCGTGCATTTTACCAGCATACACGTGTACCCGCACTCTGTTACGTTACAGACTCTCCCTGTAAAAACATAAAATATAACTAATCACTCGTCATATAATGTGACATTATCCGAGTCTTCAGAACTTTAGAAATTGGAAATCCATGAGTACTATGATAGTTAGAATGTAAATGTGGTGTTCTCTTGCCATCTTTGATTATTGGGTGAATGTAAGCTTACTCTTCCGGACGCTTGTTACCACTGTTTGTCGTGTATTTTGTACACGAGGAGCAGTCCATTTGCTGATTACACTATTTTGCTTGAATACACTGTTTTGCCTTTAACGTTTTTTAGGACTTCGAATTCTGTATTACGGTTTGGATTGTTCGTACTTGGTTTTATTTTATTTATAACTGAAATTAAAGATGACAAAATAAAACTACATTTTTATGGTAACGTTTTCACCGCGATAGCGGCTCTTCAGACATTTATTATACAATAATTCAATTAACTATTATTATATAGGCAAGGCTAGTTACTCCGTAGCCTAACGACTACAAATATTCAATCCCACCATGGTCTTTATTTTATTTAATTTAATTATTCTCTTATTTAGAATTACGTTTCGGGTGGTACTTTTCAATAAAATAGCTTTCTTTTGTCTCCAAGAGGTCGTTGTCTATATCTTCTATACTAATATTTGTGACTGTCGTTTGTCTGTCTGTCTGTCTGTCTATCTGTTCGGGGTTGGCGGCTACACTAGGTCTGCCCCGAGTCTGAAATTTGGGGTATAGGGGTAGCTCGGACCGGGGAGTAACATAGGCCAAGTGGCGTTAGTCTACCACTTCCGGTTTCGGGGTTATGACCTCCGAGCGAAGCCGGGCATTCTCCTAGTAATATATATACTAAAGAAGACAAAGTACAAGTACGTCTTTGTTTACGGTAGATAAATGCATAAATAAATAAAAAATGTGTCCAAGTAAACAATTCTCCACTTTACTTCATTCTGACATACACTATATCATATAAGTTAGCTGTCTGCCTTCTATAGGAGTCCTCAGATATTAATAATGTATAAGACTCCTGTAAAAGGCAGACAGCTAGCTTATATGAATTAATGTATGTCACAATGAAGCAATGAAGCATAGTGGAGAATATTTTTACCTGGAGAAATATCCAAAAATATGAGCACAACCGTAAAGCTACACTACTTTGTTTCACGGTAAACGATGAAAGAAATGCCGACACTTCACTTCATTCTGACATACATTAAATATATGCATAGGAAATGAAAATACTTGCCAGTAGAACAGAGAGTTAACGTCGAAGCCAAAATTAGGATGACAACAGGCACTAAGAAGTTAAACACTACTGGTGAACATTCTGTGTCCGATCGCTTTTAAATACAAACTGGTGACAACAGGTCAACAGCTATTGATTTTGTCGACAAAAACCCATACTTTATTTGATATATGACGCATACTGACACTGAAATTAATTACTAGCAATATGATAATACACGCTTGATTAAATTTTAAATTCATTTACTTTTAGTTTACGTGTATGCTTATTGAATATAATATAACGTTAATTATTGTCTGTACATACCAATATTCCTAAATCCAAATGGTTGCTGAAATGGTTCATATTTCGATTTTTCACTCAGATCTAATGCAAAACAGAAGGTTTTGGCGCGAGTAGTGACGTGTCAATTTCGAATATGTACAGAAATGAAAAGAAATGGGGCATAACGTCCTACTGTTCTGCTACGAACTCGGCTAATGAAGACGGGCATACGCCATACATTATGCTATGAGGGAAAGTTTGCCCGGACAGCGGCACTACGGCCTACTCTTATATTGAATTCCAACTGTCAATGGATCTTTTACGTACGCGAATGTGTACACGGAACCTCGGTTTTTCGTCCCATCCGAACGACTAGACAGCTGTCCTTGTAAGGCCATCCGTCCTGCATCACTGACAAGGGAGAACCACGCCGGATGAACTTTCTCGGCCAATGTAGGGATCGAACACCCGACCTCCAATTTACCGTCTTACGCAGTAATTAACAAGGGTTAAAAGATTTAATATATTTTACTAACATGATTGTA